CAGCCTCACTTTGCCTCAGAAATAGGCTTGGGAACGGGCATTAGCCAAGAAGCAGCTTTTCTGAACATACAGTAGTAGGAAACAGCAGTTTCCTTTGGCACCTCGATACGGAGAAAGTCTTCAAAATACTCCCATCTGAACCACAGAATAAAGTTCTGTAAAACTGTGCTTCAGGGGATTATGTGAACTTGGTTTCAAATGTGTAACTTCATGATAGTTTTAAATGCTGTTAAACCACTAATCATACTTTTGCAATAGATTAATTATGTCTGTCAAGGGGGAGACATATTAAAAGTCCTGACGTGTTTTTCCTCCATTAGATGAGTTTTAAATGCCTGCATATTTAAGGAGAGGTACTAGAACTTAGACAGTGGTAGTGTGTTTATACTTCGGCTTATCCTTGCTGATTGCACTTGTTAAATTTCCTACCAGTCACAGAATTTAGACGTGTGTTTAGACGAATCATGGTGTTTTCCCTTCAAGCACATTTTTCAACAGGGCACTTTTGAAACGCAGGGGTTGTTCCACATTCAAAGTTTTTGATACGTATTTTTTTTCTCTTAAGGCTGTTTTTACTATCGGAGGCTGTACATGAGTTCTACAAAATGCATACATTTCCTCTTTTATTTCGGTATTCTAAAATTTGTTCCACAAATTTAACATGGCTTACTCCTGTTGCAATAAGAAAGCACGTAAGCAAATATTTATATCGAAGTACATTAAAGAATATTTTTGAAAGTGTCAGTACATCAGTGTATACTTCTCTGTTTGCTCGTGTATAGTATAGTGAAGCCTCCTGGTTTTTTTCCTTCATTTTTACAATAACTCTTTAGGTACAGTAATAATGAAAATAAGTAGAGTGTTACATTTCATTCGCAGTGGATGCTTTTAGGCTGGTATTTTCAGTGTATGTTACTCAGGTACTGCTAGGTAGGGTCAGCCAGCTTCTTGGCAATTTGAAATGTTTGACCATACACTGTAGTGTTGGGTGTGTGGTGTACTTTACAGGGGAGGAATGAGGGGGACAAAATGAAAACTTTACCTGTTTGAAAAGTTGAAAAAAAGACTTGAAAATTAAAACTTAGTAAACTTTCACTTACAATAGAGCAAGGAAAGTAACAACTTTATATTGATTTTTGTTATTACGTTTTTTTAAAGTGTTAAATAATACCTTCCCAAGCTTCTGAAAAAAAGAAGACAGGGCATTTAATGGATAAATATTGACCAGGCAGTTGTTGAACCTTTGAGAAGAAGTTGTATTATGGAAGCCTTGTCATCAAGGACCACATAATCTGACTTGATTTTAGTTTCCCTTTGCTAGCTTTACTTGTTAATTTGGAAATGCCTCATGAGTGTTCAACTCTCACCACAGGCTGAGTGTGAAGACCTAGCTAAAGGAAATGTTAGTATGGATTTTAAATGCTGTCAGAACTTAACTAGTACTAATAGGCTTTTTAGATGGATACCTAGATGATGGAAGGAATGCAGATGCAGTGTTTAGCGTTTTTTTATTTTTATCTGTGGCAGCACGATATGAGATAACTCAGAGAAGTACATAGTTTAGATGTATTCTAAGTAACAGGAGAAATCATGGAATGTCTGTCAGGAAATTGAATCCTTCTAGGCAGCTTGGCCAAACAGAACATATACTTGTCTTTTGTAATTTTACATACAAGAAGTTGGAAGGACTTTGCTTGGACTGAAAGGACCTCTGATCGATGATTTTAAAAGTTGGAGTCCCTCAGACATTTGGGGGAGTAATGCTTTTTGTACAACAAATTGTATTAAAAAGAAGCATTGAAGAGTCATGAGTAACATGGTCAATTGAGTGTGTACTTATCAGGCATATCTGCTTTTACAGAATTCTTTTTAACAGTGATCATTAACTGAAATCATGGCAACTGCCAGTAGTGAGGCGCACCATGCTGTAGATCCTGGAATCTCAAAGCTGCAGTTTGCTCCCTTCAGCAGTGCCCTGGATGCAGGGTTCTGGCACGAACTAACCCAGAGGAAACTCAACGAGTACCGATTGGATGAAACCCCAAAACTTATCAAAGGATACTACTACAATGGTAGGTAGAAATGGAACATCTGGCTTAGTAGTTTGCTTTTCTCCAGGTTTTCTTCTAAGATTTGTGTAACATATTTTAGATGTTTTGCTGAAACATTAGAAAACGCAGCTGGGTGAGCTGTGAATTCTGGTATGTCTGTGGGTAATTTGTAACTTATCTTAACAAAAAGAGGGAAATCAATCAATTATTTCAGTTTAAAAGAAGCGTGTTGCTGCTTTTTGTCCAGGTGATCCTTTGGGTTTGCCAGCTCGGTTGACATTGGAGTTTAGTGCCTTTGATATGTAAGTATGTACTGCGATTTACCTTAATTCGTGCATGAAGACACTTTCCTTTCATAACAGTAACACTTTGATATATATAACTTTGACAAATTCTACATGAAAATAAATACACGTTTTCATGAGCTTTATAACAGTGGAGAGACTGCTTTGAGTCGCAAACATTAACTCCCTGTGTCTGAAGTAGTATATTAATCTGAAGGGCTTAAAATATCATGGTAATTCTTAAAATAACTCACTGTTTGTATGTCTGTTTATATCAAATACCTCTTTTTTTTTTATCACCTCTTCTGCGTAAGGGAGGATATTTCAGTCATCTGACTTCTGGTTAAATCTTTCCTTAGATCTTTATTACTGAGAATTAATCATTAGAATTGGGATCCAAAAATAGTTTTTACAATCCCTAGCTGTTACATTGTAATAGCTTCCGTTGTGACTGGAATTTTGTATTTTTGCCTTTAACCAGAAAGTGAAAGGTAAACCAGTGCTGCTCAGTGTGTACAACAAAAATGACATGGAAGGGAAATATTTTTTATTATGTGGTTTTCATTTCCAGCAAATGCCTAAGTTAGTATAACTAACATAGGAACAGATGCTTTCACAATTAGTGGTTTTTTAAATTTTAAATTGGATTATAAAGTTGTAAATCACAGAAGTGCCTTTCTCTGCCTTGCTTGGTGACGATATCAGGAGCCTAGTGAGGCTTTGTGCATTTTGAGATAATTTCTTAGGTGATATTATTTCACTGATTCATATGTAAGAACTTTCGGGTACAATACTGCAAGCATATGCAACAAAGTGCAATTGGAAGAATGCTGTGCTGTTGGCAACAGGAATGTCAGATTAGGAAAAAAGATGGATGGTACCATACATTTTGAACTTTCCAATGTTATGACAAAAAAAATAATGAAATGTCCATGTAGTGTTTAATTATTCCTTCTGCTGTAGTAGTTTTCTGTACTTTAGATAGTCAGTTCAAGTAAATGATAATGAAGAATCCCCTTTTAGCTTTAAACATTTTTGGAAACTACATCATGTATGTTTATTATGTATCTTAAACATTTGCTGTATTTGAGTTTTAGCAGTGGTCAGAAACATATCTGTTTGGGAGAGCAATGTTAAAGACGTCAATTAAATCAATCAGATTTATAAATTAAGAGAATATTTTAGGTTTTTTTCCCTAATTTGCATTCAAAAAAGGGGGAAAAATATATGCCATGTTTGCAAACAGCAGCTTCTCCAGTGGATGATGTTACAAACTATAAAAGCTACTCAATCTTTGGTCTGGTTTAGGCTTCCTCTGGGATGTTTTTTAAACATAAAACTTTAACTGAATAATTCTTTTTGTGAATAAAATAGTTACATCTAAAGTTCACTCTTATTTTTTTCATAGTGTAAATCACATTGTCATGGATATTTTATATTTGAAAAGAATTTTTAAATCTTCAATCTGTAAATTGGTGCCACCTTGCTTAGAGATAATAAAGTTGCCTAATATATTTTTGAAGTCATGATGTAGATGTGTATTTCCATGGGTTGTTATACCAACCTATGTTCAGTTAAGCATTATGAACAACAGTTCTAGTGAAAACATTTTGATAGTTTTTGTTACTGTACCTCATCATTTGACAATTTCAGGGTAACCTTACACCATAGGATAGCTATTGCTGCTACTGATCATGTTAAAGACATTGTATCCAATTCCTAGAGGTATCTTTCTTTTGTTCAGGAATGCTTCAATACCAGCACGTTGCTGTCCTGCTTTTGGAACATTGTATAATACCAACACTTTTGAGACTTTCAAATCCTGTGATAAGAAATTACTTCTGGAAAAAGAAGCTAATGAGGTAAGATAAAATCAAATCTACTGGTAGAAAGGGTTTGTTTAAAGCACAGTGAAGTGCTTTACGGTTTGTACCTTGAATATTTGAGATGCTGTCCATACTCACCTATATGGTAGCCTCAGGATTTAACTTATTCTGGAAGGAAAAGTTTGATGTTTGCTTTTTACTGTTCTTTACAAGAGAGTAGGAAGTAGCTAATTATATACTCCTTGGTGTTCTGTTTCTCTGCTCTTTCACTTCCGTCTTGTCCCTCCAATCAATGACAGATATGGGAATCAATAAAATCTGGAGCTGCTCTTGAAAACCCTATGCTCTTGAACAGGTTCCTGCTGCTGACATTCGCAGTGAGTAATGATAATATGTCTTATACTTAGAGCATTGTAGTGGAAATTAAGTAGTTTCTTTTTAGGAGAAATGCTGTAGTGGTATATAAATGTTATCAGCATCATTCTCAGACATCATAAACCATTGTTATGTACAGTTATAAAATATTTTATGATGTATTCTTTAAAAAATGGTGGTGCCATCTCGTATTGTTTTCTACAAATGTATAAAATTATCTGACGGCCTTATAGATATTAGTCGAAGTAGAGAAACTATTTTCTGTTTAACAAATTGAAAGTTTTAACAAATAATGCTCCAGCTGACAAAAACTGAAATATTGCACACGCATTGTCTGTTTAAATCTCAAAGAAAAACATATATAGAGAAAGGAAGTCTTCTAGTATTTTTTGTTATTTTCTAAAATCATGACACAGTGCCTTGTAAAGTAAAGAGAACTATAGTTGATGGTTGATGATACTAACCATATTGATTAGTAAGTATTCCAAACCATAATTTGCTTTAATTTATATGTTATCTAATTTTACTTCTTTTTTTCCTAGGATTTAAAGAAGTATAATTTCTATTACTGGTTTTGCTATCCTGCTCTCTGCTTCCCTGATGGAATACAGATAATTCAGAAACCAGTGTGTCTTGGTGACAGATTGCCATTAAATCAGGTATTCAAAGTACAAAATGTTATCAAGTCTGTAGTACTAAGCAGTTTTGTGGGCTGTGAAACCTAGTATTTTTGTCAGCACATACTGCATTAATTTGAGAGTCTAATTTCTTCTAAAATACTCACTTTTCTTATTTCCATGTGGGTTCTTTGTTTACCTCTTTTTTTGGTATCATATAAAAGGTCTTAGCTTAACATCACTTTAGCTTATTCATTTAGATGCTGATGTGGCAAACAATTCTTGAAGAGACAGTTATGTTAATTTTAACTTTTTATATAGTTTATTGAATATATAGCTATGTTTTTGAAACTCATTATATTTTTAAGAAGCCTTTCTAAAGAGGCATCCCCTGGGAGACCTATTTTATTAGCAATTACAGAATTGTTAACAAAATGCATGACTGGAAAAGAAAAAGAACTGGTTAGGGAGTATTATTTTTTTAACGAAGAAAGTTAACATTTTTTTGTAGTTTCATGTTACAATGCAAAAGGATGAAAAAAAAATCAACTTGCCCACATGTTGTTTTTTTTTTTTGCCCTGACAGAAGTTAATGCAAAACCTTGAATGGCTTTTTCATGGCATAACAATCAATGAGAAGCACTTTGGGTTTTTTTCAGTGAAAAATACTTATTTCCCTTCATCTCAGAAGACTCCCATTAGTTCTGTAGTAATAAATAGTGTAAAAAATACCTGTCATGATCCAAAGATAGAGTTTCAGCTAAACACTGAAAATGCCTATAATGAAGTAAATTGAATAGGATTCTGTTCTTCTGCTAATAATAGAGGGACAGATTTACTATCTTATAAAGCTACTCTCAGAATGAGATTTTTTATTTTGTTTTGATTTCTGTTGGTAGATCAGTTTGTGGCAATGGTGATAATGCTCCTGTTTAAATTTACATTGACAAATGCTGTTTTAGCAACTGAATTTATCTTCCTCATTGTGGTCGTAATGGACTTTAAAACTTCAGAATATGCTGTGTTCTAGGATTGAGTGAGCTGACCTTCCCAGATGCTAAAACACTTTCTGTGGTTCTGTGTAAGATTGTTAAAACTCTTGGTTACAGTTGTCTTTTTGCTTTTAGATTCAGGCACTTCAGAAAGCATATGACGAACTTTGCCAGAAAGAGGGTGTTACAGCCTTGCCTTACTTTTTAATTAAGTATCATGACAATTCTGTCATGGTATCTCCACTGAAAAAGTGGAATGGTTTCTTCCAAGACCAAGGGGGGAAGGTAATGAGAATTTTGTTTTCTTATAAATTACAAATGTTTAATTTACAAATGGTTTGAAAATTGTCTGTAATACGGAGCTGGGCACAGTGATTGGTGAATGAATAGGCTGGATAAATAGCTGAACACCAGCAGCTTGAATTGATTATTGTTTTGAGTGTTTCTGGTTCTTTTGCAAAAGCTCAGTTACATCAGATTAATGGTCAGCTTGAAAATTAAGTTCTTCATGCCGTCTCCTTCATTATCAAAACAGAAACAGCATAAGATTATGAATCATAACATTTAAAGTTTTCCGATCACTTTATCTACAATGCGATAAAACACTTATTGTTTGTGTACTGAAAATTGATACTAGTGTATTTGTTAGCTGTGGTAACTGTACTGTATGGGAGTTTTTAATTTTAAATGTGTGTTTTGCTACATGCACATGTTAAAAGACTGTTCAAGGTAAATGCTTTGTAATTTTGGAAGACAAATGGGTTGCGCACCAGAATAGGCTGGGATATTTCTTGTTAAATGCAGAGATCATGCATGTCCTTTGAATGTAAAGTGAGTACTGTCCATTGCTTCCAGTTAGGGAAGAATTATAATGATACATGAAGCAGATGTCATCCCAGCAAGAGTTGGCTTGGTTGGCTTGTGTTTATGTACATGGAATTTGGTTTTAGATCGTGTTGCTAAGCTGCCAAACTTCGCTGGGCCTTTCTGAATGACTTACTGTCTTTGGTTTTGGTGAAAGTAATTTAGTTCTGCTATATAGTACTCGATCTTCAATTTTTTTTTTTCTTTTCCAAATTTGTTTTTCTGAAATTAAGACCTAAGTCTGCAATTGTTCTTTGTAAAATAAGAATGCAAAGGTTGAGATTTTAAATGGTAGTATAACTACAATAATGGGTCACAGATAACAGTAAACTTAATTAGATGGGGACATTTCAGTATGAGAGAAGTCTCATATAATTGGGAATATATTTCTTTGTTAACATTCACTTTGGAGGGAAGTGCCAAAATTTTAGACCTGCCAGGTAAGGTTTGTTGCATCAGTACTGCCTGTAGAGTTTGTATTTCAGTGAGCCAACTGCACTTGCACTCCTGGAAGAAAAAATAGGTTATTGCTGTTGCTGAGTTAATTTTCTGCTAGTTGATGAAATCGATTCAGCTTACTAAAGGGTCTTATGCCTGTCTAAGCAGTTGCAAAGCAGCAGCGTATGGCTGGGAGGAGGGATGGGGAGTTGGCCCCTGTTTCTCCTGTCAACGTCCATTAGATTGGCTCGTCTGCATTTCACACTGTTCCTAGGGACCCCTCACTGATGTGGTATTGTTGAGACCAGTCACACTCTAAGCACATCTATAGGCAAAGAAACAGAAGAGCTCTGTAGATGTGAGAGACACAGGTGTCACTACTGATGGCCAAGTTCTGATTTTCAGCATATCTAAAGGTAGGCAGTGGCATCTTTCTAATCTCTGGATGTGTTTTTGTTCTGCATCGACTGTGAATTAAGTTCCTAGTTTAGATGTCTCAATTACGAACGTTGTATTACATTGGATGAACATGAAGCAGAACATCCAGTTCCTTTATTTAAAAGCATCTTGAAGGCTGGAGTAACAAGTGATTTTTATGCTGCTTTTCCTTTGGCTTGGTGTCTTGCTGGCCTGTCCACTTTCACTTTTTGATCATCCCAAGATCAATGCAGAATTTTGTTTTGAGAGCAAGGCTTCGGTTGCTGGACTTCTCCCATAATGGTGTGTTTAAGGAGGGTAAGGATACAGGTGCACATACTGTAGTGAAAAGTAAATGTCTATGAAGAGACTAAGCTGAACACACCTCAAAGCTGTCGCAAATGCTTGACTAAAATCTAGTGTGACCATGTATAAAAAAATTGTAAATACATAAAATGTGTGTAGACCTTCTCTGTACAGACGTTTTATGTTAAAAATGTAGATAACTTTTACTGTGAGCTGAATGTAAGTATAGATAGATGATTTCTCATTTAGAGTGATTTTATTTGCAGGTGACAGTTGGAGTTTATGATCCATGTAATTTATCCCACTATCCAGGATGGCCACTGAGAAATTTCCTGATCCTGGCAGCCCACAAATGGTATCTATTTTATTCTGTCCCACACAGATTATTTATTGGTTGATATCAAGTTAGGCATTTTTCCCCCCATCACACTTTACTCAAATCATCCACCTGAGATTTAACTTTTAAGCTTGACATGACTGGCCTTCACTGATTTTGGTTTTGCTTATTATTCTGTTTTTTACTTCTGTCAGTCACAAGTTCCTGTTATTCCTGCTCCTCACATGTATGCATGTACCCAGAAATACATGCTTCAGACTCTGCCAGTACCCTCTAGCTGTTCTAAATCTTCTTTAAAGTATTCTATGATTTTATATAAATAAGTAATAGTAGATCTAAATTCTGAAAATCAGATACTCTTAGGTTTTCTTGTAGCGTACCTTCTTGAATTTTTTTGTTGGGTAGAAGCTGGGGAGACAGAATGTGGTTTTAAATCCTGGTATTTGAAAAAAAACAAACCCCAAACCCATAATTTAAAGTATCATATAAAACTGTGTTCCTGTAACAAAAATGTAAAAGTTGCATTTTCATAGTTTTGACTTTTACATTTTTTTACAAAGGACACAGCAGGGAGAGGAAATGCTCATTTAGGGAGAGGAAATGCTCATATTGCACTTTCTGGGCTGCTACCTGAGCTGTAACATAGAATGATGTGTAAGTGCCCAGAGAGCTTCATATACTCTGTGATTGAGAGGCTTTTAGATGCTAAAACTCTTAATTGTTTGATTTGGGGATTTGAATCATAAGGAGGAAAAGTGTTACTGTATTGAGAACTAAGAGGGTTTTGCTTGGCCATGGCAAAGTACATCATGTCACCTGATGTGTGTTCCAGTGCTTCCTTGCTTTTTATTCCTATAAATATGCAGTTTGTCCAGCAGCAGTGTATAAATGACAGAGGACAGGCTGCCAGTGTCATTTCCTTATAGCTCTTTCACAACTAACTTGCTCTTTTCACATACTAAGCAATTTTTATATATTTTTATTTATGAATTTATATCTGGTAAGAACAACAGTGTTCTAGTACTAACACAAGACTAAACTTGTGTGAAATAGGGACTTCTTTTAAACACTTATTAAAGAGGTTGCATGGCTTTATTTATCCTTTTTTAAATGGCAGGGGTAGCAGTCTCCAGTCAGTTGAAGTCATCTGCTTTAGAGACAGGACCATGCAAGGAGTGAGAGACATAACACACAGCATTATCTTTGAAATAAAACTTCCAGAGGGAGCACTTGGCCAAGGTAATCCATTTAAAAAAAAATAAATTATTTTCTGTGTTTTTCTCTCTTCTCAATCAGTGTGACTTTGAAAAAAAATAAATTAACACTACTCCATTGTTGCCTATGCTAAGTTATTTCAAATGGATTTTAAATTGTTTGGATTTGTTAAATGTCTGTAAAGAAAATTATTCTTTCTTCAAAGGAGAAAGCATATTCTCTTTTGATTTTTTTTTTCCCTCCCTAAATTGGGTTTCTAATTAAAAATAAAGTCCTGGTGTCATGTGAAATACAAAAACCAGGCGATTAGCAGTTAGCCTCTTTTTTGTATTGTTAAATTTGTGTGTGATCCCTTAGCTAGAAAAAATGCATGTGATAGTGAATTTATGTGATGCATACTTTCTGTACCTAAAAAGGTAGAAGCCTGCTACAGAGTGGAGTTGTTTCATCCCATAATGAGGTAGGCAGATGTGTTTCAAAGCAGTAAACTTGTGACATTAGAACATAAACTCAGACTTAATATCTGTGTACTGATGAGTATAACAAAATTTCTTTACCTTATCCAGGGAGTTCTGAATGCTTTACATATCTTGGTGGTGAATTGTTTAATTATATAATAATTAGGCTGTATAATTCTCTACTGGATTTACTGATGGTGTCTTGGGACCATCTCATGAAGAGATGCTCAAACTTGACAAAACTTACTGAGTTCTGAACATAGCAGTCTGTTTGACATTAAAGATCTGGAGTCTTGGTGAGGAATGATGCCATCTCTGTCCTGGGTTTGAATCAAGATGCAGAGGCAAAGCAGCACATTGGACATCTAAGAGTAAAGCACTTCGCCAAGAAGCAGGGCTTTTAGTTGATGTAAACAGCAGGGTTTGTATAGCAGCGTATACTAGGTTAAGATACAGGTTATTTACTTACAAGAATTTAGTTTTACAACAAGTTTGAATCCAAGAAAATTTCATTTCTGTCCTGTGATATTAAGGTGTTTGTTCTTTCTTTCCTTCTTTCTTTTTTTTTTTTTTAATATGTCAAACAGATTGCCCAAAAGCTGTTGGATGGGAGAAAAACCAAAAAGGAAGCATGGGTCCAAGAATGGTGAATCTCAGTGAATGCATGGATCCAAAAAGGTTTGTTTATTATCTTTTAAATTTATGTAGTTTTCTTTACTTGGGTTTAAGGCATAAAAAGTTGAAATGTGAAATGCAAGGAATATCTGTCTCTGTTAGGTAGGAATATACAGTAACACATATACTGTATGTTCTTTGGACAGTCCTGTTAGAGGTAAGGACCTTAATAAAGTGCACTGCATGCAGCAGCAGTGATTGCGATTTTTGACTCTAGCTTAAAATTTCAAATGCGTTACATTTAAAACTGAGTGCAGTCTAGGTCATAGTGTTACAGGCCTGTGATTGTCATTGAATTCTATGAGCTGCAGGTTGCTAAACCTAATGAAAATCAGCATGGAGAAGAGTTCAGCCTTTTGGAATTGATAGGTTGTGACAGGAAAGAGGTCAGGAGACGTGACTTTAGTAATGTTTATCATCATGCACACAATGTATGAGCAGTGCACTGAAGACAGTGTAGTTACTCAGCCTGTTGGCTCATCTGCTTTCACTGACTACATGGCTGCTCTTGACTTTGCAACACTGCAGGACTGTGTTGATCTAATGATTTTGATTAAGATACTTTACCTGTCAAGCTGAGCCATTTTTGTCTTGCAATTGTGGCAATTCAGAGCATGTTCATAGACGTTAGAGAAGGTTCGTCTGAGGGCTCTTAATTGTTTAAACATAACTTGACCTTCTTTACGTGTATGCATGCTAAATTCTGTTAATTTCCATAGAGGCTGTTGGTAATATGCCAGCACTGGCAATTGTGATCGTAAATCCTTGTTTGACAAATAATTTACTGGATACTGCAAAAATACATTTATGATGTACAAAGGAATAAAACTGTCAGGAATCTGAGAACTGGTATGTGTGTCTGATTGGAAGACAAGAAAGGCAAAAGAATTTTAAGGAGTAGTATGAGCGGGAGTAGAGGGTCTGTGCATTCTACATGAACCAATGTACTCCTTTGGAAAGAGGAAGCAGGAGAGCGAATGAGAAAGTCATGCTCTGTATGGATTTTTTTTTCCCCCTGACATTTTTTCCATGCCAGTTATTACTCTATGGATGATTTGCGATGACCTGATTTGATGAGAGTTTTAACACCCTGTGTTCTGATGAATGCAAAAAATCTCACATTAGGTTGAACGTAGATTTCCTACCTCATTTTCCTTATAGAACTTTCACAATGAGCTGACTCAGTTCCTTAGAGAGCACGTGTAATATTTCACGATGAGATCAGATGTAACTGGATGCAGGAAACCAGTTTTTTCTAACCTCCTTGCCATGCACCTTGTTGTTAGGTGGAATTATGCTTGGGGCACTTAATTTTTCATATTACCTGTACGTTGAATACTTTCTCTCCTTAAAAAAGAAAAGTATTGAACTTCTTCAGTTGAAACAAAAGTAATTGCTTTGTTGGAGAAGCACAATATTCAGAAGCATGTTGCTATTTGTTTCATGGTATAGGTTAGCAGAATCATCAGTGGATCTTAACTTGAAATTGATGTGCTGGCGCTTGGTGCCTACTCTTGATTTGGAAAAAATTGTGTCTGCCAAGTGTCTGCTGCTAGGAGCTGGTACACTGGGTTGTAGTGTTGCAAGGACCTTGATGGTAAGTCTTGAGATAATCTTAAAAATAATCTACTGTTTCTCATAAATTCCGTATTTTTTTTTTTCAGCAGCCACCATGACATGTAAGAGAAAAGTTGCATTCCTCTGTATTCATGTAGACGTAATAAATATTAGTTGATGATATAAATTGTGGTGAAGGGGTAAGATCTGTAGCCAATGGAAATAACTTGAAGTTCTGCTAATAGTAGAATAGCAGGTAGTAAGAGAACCTTAGCAGAATTGTAGTTTGTTTTGAATTTACATAAATAAAGGATTGAACATGAAATTCTGGAAGAAATTATCAAGCTAATATGATCAAATTCACAGTGAATTCAAATTCACATTGAATTAAAATACATTCTTCAAGTAAGTAACCATGTTGATTACTTTCAGGAATGTTTATCACATCCCACTTTCAATAGGGTTTTGAGGGATTACTGTGAAACGCTATATTTGAACAGACCAAATTTTCTGCCCTCTTAATTCAATGCAAGTTCAAGGTTGTTGCTGTGCTTTCAAAGCTTTTGTAGCCTGGTCTTTCTGGGAAAATTGGACAAAACTCTTCTTGAATTTCTGGTATTACTCAAAAGTATATGACTAAGCCCATTGTACTTATCATTATTTAAATTACTTTCATGTTTAGGGTTGGGGAGTCAGGAAGATTACATTTGTGGACAATGCAAAGATCTCCTACTCCAACCCAGTACGACAGCCACTGTATGAGTTCGAAGACTGTCTTAGCGGTGGGAAGCCTAAAGCACTTGCAGCAGCAGACAGGCTGCAGAAAATCTTCCCAGGAGTGGTAAGATCAATATTTAAAATGAGTTGATATGTTCCTTCAAAGAGAACCAGTGACTTTAAATAACTATTCCATGTTCTATAATTAAGCGTTATTGGGAATGGGAAAATTACTACACAGGTGTTACACCGGTTACTGACAAATCTGTAAGCATTTTACTTCAAGTCCTCTATACTTGTTAAACTTTATTGAGACAATAATGTAATAATGAAACACAGTTAAGGGTCACCTGAGTCATCTTGTAGCTCATGGATGTTGAAGTAATTTTTTTTCCTCTGTAGTATGTCCTACGATACTTTGAGTACTGGGTGCTTTTAATGTTGTTTTCTGACTCTGCTTTTAAATATGACTGTAGACACATCTGTTGTCTATTACGAGAGCAGAAGGTCTTGAAGACAGTAATAAGTGATTGCTGAGATTTCCTATTATGTTTTACAGCCAAAATTTGCAATCTTATTTAAGCTTATTTTCTACATAGGTGTCAAATGCTGAATTTTTCACTGGTTATGCTGCTGTTGGATTGAAATTACCCAATGTTCTCAGGATTGCTGCAGAGGGACATTTTGCTCTATGAATCATCAGTGATGTAGTACAAGAAAAAGAAAAATTTTTACTTGTTAAACTGAAAGTTGATTTTTCTGTTAGTTTTGCCCAGAAGAATAACTTAATAGCAAGTACTGATTAGAAACGTGCTTTACATAGAAGTATAATACAGAGCATTAAGATGATGTAAGAACTTTCTTGTTTGCTTTTGTTTTCTTCAAGAACTAAGCAAACTGAATCTGGTCCAGAAAAGGGAAATAGATCATAGCAGCCTGGAGAAGATATCAATGTTGGCCTTTGACCAAAGTATTCCTCTTTTGGGGAGCCTGATGGCAATAGCTTACTGTCAGAATGAAGCAGTTGAAAGGGAACAAAAGACAGAAATACATTTTTCTGTTGTTTTAGAAGCTTTATGATGAAAGGCCCACCAATGGCAGCCTCTTTGACTCCAGGGACGTGTATCGTCAGAACGTTATTCAGTGCAGATGTTCAAACAGACCTAATTTTCAATGCTGAAAAAACAAAAAGCAGATTAATGAAAACCCCAAGAATTTACAAATGTTTGTGGTTCTTTTTGTTTCATCCTTTGTTTGGGAGAATTGTTACGGCTTGCAATTTCAGAATAGACACTCAGCTTGCTCTATCATGAACAAATTCTTTTTTATATTAATTTGTCATGATGAGAATCACTCAACTGTTTATGCTTTGGAATGCAGACTGTCTTAAAATTGGTAGCAAGAGTTACCAGAGCTCAGCTGGCAAGCAGCATCTTAACCTCTTAGTGTAATTCAAATGAGTTATGTATACTTACTAGGCAATTCTGTATTTAAAATGACACTGATTATGTTACTAGTCATAGTATTATTGAGTTATGAACAGTGACATATAGATCTGTTGTGGTGTTGATGATTAGTGTTGTGAATAAGCTTTCCAGAAGATTGTTTCTAAATGGTTTTAGGTTAATTTAGTTTGACCTAAGGGTTGCTGTGGTTTTTGTTCTATCTATGTTGACCCTATTATTGTCATGATTTATGAAATCAGTACTGGTACTAAGCAGTAATTCAATATTTGAATATCAAACAATGGTCCCCAGTATGAAAAAATGCAAAAACTGTCACTTTCAGAACTTTTGATAAGTAAACCAGAAAAGACTCTTTGAAAGTTCCTAGAATTTTATTTAATCTTGCTGCTCTCTAATGTTATTGTTACTTGGTGATATTAATTTAATTGTAGAGATATTAAATAGTAGAACAAGTACAGAAGAGAAAGCATATGTGCAGTGTCACATAGAGCACCAGCATGGTGCCAGCTAGGATTTGTGTCACACAACATCGTGTCACTTTTTGAACTTGAGAGAATGAAAATAGGAATATTAAGAAAGAATGAGTAGTTGAATTAGAAGAAATAAAAGCTGTTTGTGGAATCCTGAACGATACAGTTTTGCATGTGGAGATAAAGACCAAAAGTTAGTGTTAAGGATTTTCTTTTTAGAAACAAAGACCAGACTGTGCTTTTGAATCTTGAGCATGTGATGAAGCTTTAAAAAGAAAATAGTAACAAGAGGGAACCAGTAACAATGCTTTAGTGAGCCTGCATCAGTAAGTGTTAGTACATGTGGTATACATAGGAAAAAACTAATTTTCCTGTTCAGTAACAGCATATACATTGTGCAACACGTACTTTATATAAGGAATTTTTTCTTTACCATATACTTCAAGTGTTCTGCATCTGCCACTGTTTTCTTAACATGTTGTCCCCATCGGTGGTGTGCATTCTCTGTTGTTTTCTTGTGACACGGATCAGTCTTCAGCGGGACTCAAAACTAGTTTCATAGCTTTGTGGCTCAAGTGAGGGGAAAGCAGTAGCACAGATCCTGTGTACTCTTATGATAGGAGGTTTCCAATATATTTTTCAGTCAAACTCCTTTGTGGAGAAGAGGTATCAAGTTTGACCATCAGTAAATACACAGGGAAACAACACACTAGTTTTAACAAGAGCTAACAGGGCTTAACAGTAAAACCTCTGGTCCAAACAATTAATATACTGACAGCATGTGAGAGGGGTGCAGTTTAAGCAGCAGGCCAAGCACGTGGACTAACAATAAGTCTTTAATTAGCCTGGGTACATTCTTGGTGTTTTGGGATGATTTCAACAGTGAAGCTCCTGTAGCTGGAGGTTTTTATAACCCAGTAGATTTTGCTAGTCCTCTCAAAATAGAGCTGCATGTGTTACTGCAGTCTGCACTGCAGTTGTCTAGAGTAGTTCTCCTGGATTTTGAGCCTGCTTGTTTCTCTCACAGTGAAGGAGTAGCCAAAGCTGTCTCTTGCTGTTTGGAAACCCACACAGTCCTTTCAAGCCCATGGGAATCCAAGCAGTAATGTTGGTTCTGAAGGTATTTCTGAAAATGTGGGTTTACATTTCTGTGCAATTCACTTGCAGTCTAATTTACTTTCTTTGGTTTCAATGTGAGTAATATTTTTCACATGCAATGCAGTTTTTCCTGGTTGACTTTAAACGCTTGACTGCTCTATGTGAATTCTCTTTTTTTTTTTTTTTTAAATTTTGCATCCTTTCTAGTTGGAAGAGTAACCACCTCATCATTGCAAATGAAACAAGGAGGAATGCTTTGGCAAGGAGCTTTGATTTGTTTCATTCCACTTCTAAGATTATCATTAACTGTAGCTTAGAGTTTTATAATAAAAAAGAAGGGAGGACTCGGAAATAGCAGAATTTACGGATTCACAGCCTTTTCATTACAAGTAGGTAATGCACAGAGTCGTTCATATAGCTGCTGTGGAATTTATTGACTCTTTTACATAATTGTTTCCTGGAGCATTCAGATGTGGAACTCCAGTGTATTCAGCATTTTACCATTCTTTGTATATATATATACTGTGCAGGGGGCAACTTTTCTTCATTTTCTATGTACCTTTCCGTGGCACATTTCTGGTCAGGTTTAGTATATTGAGCACAGATATCTTCTAAGAAAGCTGAGCCATGGTTTAACAAAAAATGCAGGAAGTTAATAGGAATGTCAATAAAATCAGAGAGAAAGTTATGGTAGCATAACAAATGCAATATTTTGATGCCTGTTTGCTTTAGAAAAACCCAGCAAAAACAAAGCACTGGAGCCACAAGCACGGCTTTGAGCAGCTGTCAATGAAAATGTTGAAAAGTTCATTGTCTTTAATGATTTGGTATATGCCAACATAAAGTCCCTTTTTAAAATAAATATGTGATTCTAATACTTTATGGGATGATAACTAAATATTTTGTTTTGCATAATTTGGAGGCATTATTAGTCTTCTGTTAATATGAAAGTTTTGGTCTTAAAATCAAAGCGATTTTGTAAGCAAGCAAAATTATTTTTGTCATATATAGACTCCCTGAGATTTTGGACTTCTGCAATGAGCGACATCTGTCTTTGGACATATATACTTCTAAAAATACTATGTATGTGGCATCGCAAGATACTCCTTGGGTCTTTTTGCCAGTGTTTGATTGCAAAAGTGTACCTCAGCCAGTTTTACTAGTCACTGGTGTCTTTTCTTCAAGGGACAGTTATTAAAATAAAATTGAAGCTATTGAGGCTGCTAGACTTGTATGTATTCCTATAGCTACAGAACCTGGATAGTTGGTTTGTTTTTTTTTTTCTGAATTCCATTAAGATTTTAGTATTTTACAAACCTTGTTACCATATTTCTGTGCAGCCGGTGTTCAACTTGTTGGTTTTATTTTTATTAACAAAGTTTGACCTCCTAAGTCACCAACAGTATCAGTTGTGTAATAAATCAGCACTCATATGCAGTAGAGGGGCTGAATGAGTTACCGATAAATACGTTACTCATACAGCATGGATTAAGTTTTGTGTTCCTGCCACAGCTTTTTGGAGGAGGTAATAACTGTGAAGGTAAAGCTTCCTCGAGTAATTGTGCAGTGTCTGTGCTGGTGATGCAGAACCCAGGCTGTCCTTACTGGAGCACAGAGGAGCTGCTCTGTTAACAGCATACCAGATCACTGTGGACTCTACATTTTTCCCCGTGAAAATTCATTTCCCCAAGCTACTATGTGTGTCTAATTATTTTTATCTTCTGTGATATTCATGATACTTCACCTTTCTGCTTATATGACTCACCTGGATTTGCATTGTGCGTGTATTTGGTCTATATAAAAGCATGTTCTGCCAATGTTCCTTTCCTTTCTGCCTATGTAATTTTATGTTTTGTTCATCTAACTTTTAAATTTTGGCTTTAAATTGTTAGTTCCTTACGGCACAGTGACAGGCAAGGAGAATTTGTCAAAGCCTGTGCTTCTGTACCATATATGAAGGATTCATTACTCTCTTATAGCAGATGGCTGCCAGATTCTGTTAACATATTTCCAAATGAGTGAGTTAATTGTTTGCATTGTACATGCTTATTTGGCTCTTCAGCCATTTTCTGCTTAATATGTCTGGCCCAAATATGGAGTTGGAAGAGACGTGTGTTTCTGCAATAAGAGCAGACTCTTTCAGCATCTGCATAGTGCAAGTCTCCAGACATCCAAGCACCCAAGTAACAAGTCTCAGAAGTGATTTTCTTCTATATCAAGTTCAGATATGGCTGGTTGAATTACATGAAAATCATTGGAGACTATTGTTCTTTTCAGAATTTAAAACAAAGAGATGAATCTGTGATACTTTACATCTGTCTCACTGTGAATGAGTCCATATTCAACATCAGAAATACAAACTACATCCCATTAACGTGATGTGGGAAGTGGCTGCAGAGATAACCCAGGACAAAGATTTTATCTGAGTTTAGCAGCATGCTCATTATCATATGTAAGATCAGTCTGCTTGCTTTTGTAGTGGTGTCTGTTACCTCTGGGATTAGGAACAGTTCAGCTATCTTCTTGTAATGATTTGCCAAACCTAATAAGACCCTGGGAGAGACTGAGCCACTGTGCTGGGTCTAATCTCATGGCCCAGACTAGTGTGTTGGCATTGAGCTGCTCTGTTCTTCCTAAGTATGACAGCTGAGACTGCCATTCCCTCAGAAACCTTAGCACTGTTCTTTAGTGCATAGCACTGGTATGCAGAGAGATGTTGTCATTGAATTTGTGTTCTACAATTTTGTATTGACCTTTATAATAATGCTACTATTTCACAAGGTTGTATTTTTAATATGTTATTTTCTGTCTTGTCTGCATCTAGAATTCTGAAGGCTATAACATGAGCATCCCTATGCCAGGCCACCCGGTGAATTTTTCTGAGATAACAATGGCACAGGCTCAGAAGGATGTAGCTAAACTTGAGGAGCTTATTGATACTCATGATGTTGTTTTTCTACTAATGGACACTAGAGAGAGTCGATGGCTTCCTGCTGTCATTGCAGCCAGCAAGAGGAAGGTACTGTACTATAACTTGCTAATATCCTTGCCACTGTATTTCAGCTCTTGCATATTAACCAGCTATGTATACCTAAAGAAGCTTTAATGGGGAACTGAAATATTTGATCAGTCTTCTGTGGTTTGTGCTTACTGCAGGGGTTGGACTGGATGAGTTTTAAAGGTCACTTCCAACCCAATACATTCTATGGTTCTATGAGGCAGTGATTCTCTTGCTATCATGATGTAGACTTCAGTAAAAAGTCTCGGGTAATCTTGATATTTCTTAATTCATTTAAGAATTGTGCAGTTTCATGTTTGCTCAGTTGAAATAGCACAAAGTCAGAAAATGTGAGTATTAAGCTTTTAACATGTCAGCATAACCATAGTGTACATCCTATGTACTTTGTGGTGTAAATATAATGATGCCCATAGCAATTTATTAAGTTGTGAACTTAAGAGAGTAATTGAAAACATCCATGTGACACAGGTGAGTCAGTGTTGCTATTTTATCTTTGATTTTTGTATTTCGTGACTTCTGAGATTTTTTTTTCAGCTAAAGTTTCCTAATAGTTGTTAGTTGTTTGGGGTTTCTTTGGTTTGTATTTCTCTTTATTTGTAAAAAAACAAAAACAAAAACAAATGTAGAAAGATAGTAGGAAGGAGAAAGAATGCAGATTTGTGGTATTTGCGAACTAGTTTTATCTTACAAATTCCAAGTGTATTCCCCTTTCTGCTGAAGTTTATGTTCATCTGAACTTAACTAAATTTCCTCTGCATCTGCTCTGCAACCAGGCTTTTTCCAGATCAAACAGTTCTCTCATTTCTTTTTTTGCCAAGATCTTAAATTATTTTCTTTTCTTTGATTTCTTACTTACTTTAAATATATATGGCTGGGAGCAGCCATCTATATGCAGCTCCCCCCGTCTGGGTCAGTCAGAATAGGGTTGTTTTAACGATCTCCAAAACTTATCCCCCCACATTTGCTTAGCTAACAGTTGCTTGCTATATTTGCCTTACAGCATTCAAGTCACTTGAAGACAAACTTTGTAATTGCTTTCTGACAGTTCTCTGACATTCAATGGCATAGTGTGTCTGACTATATCACAGTTATTTAATTTTTCACAAGATGACTTTGATGTGAGGAGATGGAATTGTCTGTCACCGAATAAGCACAGCACTGAAATCTCAAGGTGTCCAGACTGAAATGCTCAGTATCTGATTGTCAAAGTACTTCTTGTTGATAAACATTTAATGACAGCTCTACTTCAGATGTGAATTTTTATGACAACTAAAAAAAGCACTGCTGCAGTTTGGACCCCAAGGTCTCAAAACTGGCACACAGAAAATGAAGAACATAGTGAGTGATAATCTGCAGAAAGTTCTCTATAAGCAGTACATAGGTAGAAATAAGAATTGATTTCCCCGTGTAATCTTCTAGTTGCCTTTATGAGCTTTGGTCTTCCTGCAGTCATTCTTCCCAAAAACAAGTATCTTAGACAAACACAGAACTCAAATGTTAAACTCATGTCAGACATTAAATCCCTGTTCCTGTTAAGCACTGGAATTGTAAAAAAAATGTGCTAGTTTTTTTTAAACACATGCCAAAAGCTATACTTTCCATAGTCTCTTTATCCAAAAGAAATGTTGGTTGTGGAGTGGGCTTTTTGTTGTTGTTTTGTTTTGTTGTTTGTTTTTTTTTTTAAATTAAGCATCCATCAGTTAGGATTCAAATAGTTGCTGGACAGTAAACTGAAGAGGGAGAGAAAGTTTAATGCAGTGGGAAGTGTTTAGCAATGTTACTAATTTCTGATTGTACCAGCTGTGTCATATTATCCATGTTTTAAAAATGGAATACTATCTTAAGGTTTTACAGGTAGATGTAGTGAGAAGATGCAGTCTTTTAACTCTTTCTTGTAGACGTGGCTGTACTAACACAGATTCAGCAGCTTGGTTCCACTTTAGGACTGAGGAAAGAATAAACTACAAGGTTGTAAGTGAATATCCAGAAATTTTTTTGAAGTACCAAGAATGATGATGAATCTGATGAATCTCACCAGCTTACTAATTAAGATGGCTAATTCTTGACAGCTTCCCTCTAAGTCCCTCTTTTAAATAATTCCTGACTATAGTAATGAAAAATTACAAACTGCTGTACTGGAATTTCTATCTAAAATATCTGCACATGAAGCAGATGATATCTTCCTTTACATTTTGCTGGCTACAGTCATTATTGTATCACTGGTTTTGGTTTTGCTATATCTAAACTATTGCCTGTAAGTTTAGAAAAATCTGCTAGTTTAAGCATTGGTTTTGTGATATTTCGGTCATAGAGTTTATACTGTAAGCACTTGTCACAAACCGAAGAGGAAGGAGAAAACGATGACAGTGTAATTGTGTGCCACAGCTGCTTGTGCTCCCCATGTGACTAAACAGATGCATATGAAGACCATAACCAATCATTAATTGGTTTCCTCACAGAGCAGAATTTTTTTTGGATAACAGCCTTGCATTTCATTGCTTTGTCACACAGCAGTGTTTAATGAGTTATATTTCAGACCACAGTGAACTGCAAAGACTACATACAATACATGTAATTTCAAATAACATGAAAGCTTGTTCTTGATAGCCACTGTTGTACTTAAATGATGCTTAGAATATTTTGGTACTTAGAGAATAGGAATTTCTAGAATATGCAGTGAAACTGAAAATAAATTTGAGCTGAAACAAAAGAAAATGTTTTTGCAATAACGATACTGATCACTGTATGAATATTGGGCCAAATTTGGATCTATGGATAGTAATTCATATCAGTGCATAGCAGCCTCAGTATCTTTGGTGAGACATTGAACGTTAGTTGGTGTGAACCTGGGTTCAGATGTAAAATAGCACAGCACATTTATGGAGTTCCTGTTCCTTTTTTTTTCCTTCTTTCTTTTTGGTGAGTATGGTATGTGGGTTTGTGTAACAATCAGAGGGAGTTGATAATTTGTGTCAGATTTCTCTGACAGACACTGGAAGAGGTAATGGTTTGTGGTCTTCTGAAACAGACTTTTCTTTTGGTTTTGTTTTTTCTAGGTGATTGACAACTTGAGTTTTGCACCTATCAGAAGGTCTGTTGTTTATGGGTAGAGTGATAGATTTGCAGTTAATGTGTTATTCATTCATCCACGGCATGTGGAGTTTTTTGACACTTACATTGAATAAAACCTTGAAGCCTTTTTTTACCCCCTTCATCTTTGTCTCAATTAAAATCTGTTGTTCTCTGTTGTTCACAGTTGGTCATCAATGCTGCATTGGGATTTGACACATTTGTTGTTATGAGACACGGACTAAAGAAACCAAAACAGCAAGAATCTGGTGATTCATGTTTCAACAATGCTGCTGGTTCCTCTGATCTTTTGGGATCATCACTTTTTTCAAATATCCCTGGCTATAAACTGGGTTGCTACTTCTGCAATGATGTTGTGGCACCAGGGGATGTGAGTGGAACCTTCTGTTGCATATCTCTTTTGTTGTGACTTGAGTTTTTATTTCCTTTAATATTGTTTTGTAAAGGGATTTGTTTTATGTTGATGTACACAATATTTAGAAATAGATTCATTTGGAAGATCAAAGAAATTAATTGCACAGAACTGAAGATGTTTTGTGTAGTAGGGCAGCTACTTATTTTTGAGTTACTTTTTTCTTTCCTTTAGAATTGTCTGTCTTTGTAGTCCACCAGGGATCGGACGTTGGATCAGCAGTGCACAGTCAGTCGGCCTGGATTAGCCATGGTAGCTGGAGCGCTTGCGGTGGAATTAATGGTTTCTGTTTTACAGCATCCAGAAGGGTGAGTAATTTTCTGGATTGGTGTTCAAAAGGTGTTCTCTGAGAAATAAGGTTTATTTAATATAATCTTTTGGAAGAAGGAGGAGGAAATACATATAAAGTAGGACCATTTTGTAAGTTGTGAAGTTGCCTGTAAATTAATGTAATGTATAGGTCATATTTACTATATTACTGTAATTTGACGGTGTTTGAGAGAACTGATTCATCAGATCTTAAGTTTTTAACTTGGAGTTTTCTCTCCTTCTAAATGTAGAAATGTACCGAGAATATGTCTAAAGAAGAAAGTATTCCTGTCAGTGGTTCTTGGCATTCCTTTGCTCAGGAGAGTATCTGAGTGTAATGAGAAGCTATCATAACTACTTTTGTCACATGAAGAGAAGCCAAATATTGCAAAATCTTAATTAAAATTAAGTGGGCTTGATACAGAAATTACTCTGAAATTCTGTGACCTGTCTCCTGTCTTTAAAATCTGTGAAAGAAAAAGTGAGTTAGAAGTTGGACATGAGTATGTTACAAATCTCTCAGACTGATTCTGAAAAAGGGTTTTTGTATTGCCATGTTGAAACTTAGTTACCATGAAACATATTTTCCAGATAGGTTCCTTTCCAGACTCTAAACTGTAAGCTGCAACAAAATGTCTTGAAGCTTGCTGGAAATTTTGACTGTTCAGTATATTGTCTTGCTCTGATTTTCCTTCTTGGATTTTTGACAGTGGTTATGCTGTGGCCAGCAGTAGTGATGACAGAATGAATGAACCACCTACTTCTCTTGGACTTGTTCCTCACCAGGTAAATAACCTGTGAGTAAATGCTTTTGTTTAAAAGCTGGGAACTGATATAAAGGAAGCATTGTAGTCTTTGTCTCCTTAACAAAAACATCCCCTATGCTAACTGTGTTCTCCAAAGGACTGATTCTCCATGTTTGTTAAAAACCAAGTCCATCAGACAAGCCAGGGTAGCTGTGTTCCTGGCACTGTGTCTGTCTGTCTTGTAGACACACAATTCTTGCTTCCTACTTAGCAGAAATTTATTTGTAGCACACAGTATGTGAATAAGGCAACCTCTGGCTTTTCTGTCCCCTTCAGAGTTGACAATATGAGCATCTCAAATTTACTTTTGTTCACTTTTTAAATCCCTTCTGAGTTTGGAAAAAAATTCAAATCTAGGCAGCTCACAATTATAGTTCTCCAAAATATTCACATGTTTTTGGTGCAGTGCAGCAGTCTTTATTCTACTCAACCCAAACTCTGGTTACAAATGTGTTACAAATGCATTTTTCAGATTACTGGATAGACTTGTCTTTATTTGTTATGTTGATACAGTCATTAAAAAAATACCTGATCTTATCCCCATAATCATATCTCCTGTGATATTATCATTGGGGACTAAAAGTATTCACAGAATCACAGAATCGCTTGGTTGGAAAAGACCTCTGAGATCATCATATCCAACCGTTCCTGTCTACCCCCTAAACCATATCCCTAAGTACCTCGTCTACCCGCTCTTTAAACACATCCAGGGATGGTGACTCCACCACCTCCCTGGGCAGCCTGTTCCAGCTTCTGACGACCCTCTCAGTAAAGAACTTCCTCCTTAGCTCTAACCTGAACCTCCCTTGGCACAGCTTGGTGCCGTTTCCCCTTGTTCTATCCCCCATCACCTGGGAGAAGAGCCCAGCACCCACCTCTCCACAAGCTCCCTTGAGGCAGTTGTAGGTGGTGGTGAGGTCTCCCCTCAGCCTTCTCTTCTCCAGGCTAAACAACCCCAGTTCAAACCCCAGTATTCTGTGCCCCTTTCTTTGTGTTGTTTATCTGAGTAACTGTTTGGATGCTTCCATTGTATAAATAAATTATTTATTTGTTTCTAAGTGGTATTATTATATTCTATTAGTTTTTTTGCACTAACAATGAATCCTGATTCAAAAAAAGATAAAGCTTCTAGTGTGTTTTGTTTGCAACTTGCAGCTAATCAGAAGGTCTGGTCTATATAAAATTAGTCTAATTTTGTTTAGGGTGCTTTATTATAACTGAGTTACTCCCTTATCCTGTTGAGTTTTCTGTAGCTAATGCTGCTGTCAGCTACGCCCATCCTGTGCGCAGTGCTGCAGTATGTCTGAGGGAGATTTTTGACCTGTCCTACCTCAATAGGAAGAAAAAGCCAAATCTAAATCTTGTTAATTTGCTGATCCAGGTGCTCCCTTTTGATGTTTCTTTGGAGAAGCTTTTGCTATTTTAGTTGAAAAATGAATGACATAATTTCCAGGTGGTTTTCTGTAGTTACCTGAATGTTTCCTGTGATCATATGGGATGATAATATGAAGGAGACTTTACTTATGGTGTGTTAGTTTGTTAAAAAATAGCTTCATTAATTTTGATGCTTGAAACTTATGAGTCTTACATGAGTACAGTGACCTTGTTTCAAATTGGTGGCTATGCTCCAGATATCTGGAAAACAGATCTGTAACTTGAACCTTCTCTTTACATCTAAAAAAGGATAGTTAAGAAGGGATATTCCTCCCTACACAAAAAAAAAGCTAGAAAGATTACATTATGTAGTAATATATTTTTTTAGAATCTTTCCCAGTAAACTTTAGAAAGTTTATTGTTTCTACTGAAAAAATAAATATGTCACAGTTCATTTATTATTTCCTGATGATGAGAATGTTAACTGGCCAGTCAGTCCTGTCTGCTTTGTTTTATATCCCTACATGATTTTACTTGCATTATTGTTCTGTTTTGGGCTATGCTTTGAGACAATAATAGACTTGAGCATTATTTAAGACATTATTATTTGTATTGCAAAGCTACTTAAGTTCTGTTCTTAGTGATGTCTCTTCATTGTAGTAGACCTTAATACTCCAAAGAATCTAAATTATCAGACTAGTCTAAATGATCAGACCCTTTGTTACCAGAAACAAAGGCATGGAATTTTAAAATTGTGTATCAGTAATATCCTATTAACAAGGTAGTTTAGGTATGCATGACAGTTATGTATATGTTACAGAGATGGGGAAAAAAATGTGTTTAACTGGTCATACCATGACTTTTTTTTGGTCAAGCTTTGCAATCAGAAAAGTCAAACTCCAGGTGGTGCTGTGTCTCTATATTTTCCTTGTTGCATTTAGATAGTTGTGCCAATATTTGTATATAGAAAACCAGGAATATATATTGAGTATAAATTTACTACGGGTGTTACTGGGAGTCACTGTGTTAGAGCAGTATTATCCTAGTTATAGCCATTCTTTTATCTTTTTATTGCATGTATATGTCCAGTTCATGTGGAATTTTGGAAATGTCTTTTGTAGCTTTAAAATAGTATTGTAAACTTTTCTGTCTTCCAGATCCGTGGATTTTTGTCAAGATTTGATAATGTTCTTCCAGTCAGCCTGGCATTTGATAAGTGCACAGCCTGTTCAACCAAAGTAAGTCTGAGTTTGTCTGGACTTTATTTGTAAGTACAGAATGGTCTTGCTCTAGGTCAGTGTTGGGGTGCAGAGGACTGCTTTGTATTTGACGTTTTCTCTTACTTCCTTAGAGCTTGGAACCTGTCTCCTCACTTCACCTAAAGTTCTTTTGCCCTCATACCTTTCTTTCTTAGCTGTTTTCCAGATTTCTCTGGCATCACCGTTAGCAAGCTGTCTCCACATAAACGTTCTAGTCAGAGCTAAAGAAACCAAGCAGAGATTAGGGCCAACACGTTTCTGAGAAAGTTTATCATATGAATACTGTCAATATCTTTTAGCTTTGTAAGAAGGAATAAAATTGTTATTGGGTTCAGTTGTAGAAGAAATTATTTCTGATGTGCAATGAATAAATGTGTATTTTTAGCTTACTTGAACTTACCATCATTACAAATATGCAAAGTTGTCAAGATCTCTGTTTTATGATACAGGACAGACATATAAAGAACAATTAAGAAAAAACAACATTTAATTATTGAAAAGACTGTTTCATGATGATGCTAGTGTTGACAGTCCCTGGTCATTTAATGGATTCACAGCCGTTGCTTGGCTCTTAGCTGTGCCTTGCCAGAGCACAAGGGCAGTCCACTAATAGGTCTGTGTGAGGCTTGGGTTGCTGTCCTGTACTGTGGCCTTAAAGGCTTTTGTGGCAAGTTTTTTATGGCCCTGTAGTGCAACTTTGTGAAGTTTTTGAATGGGATATCTCAATATGAAGATTCAGAGGTTTTGGCTCATGATTTGGCCTGCTTGAAAGTGCCATTAATTTAGTTTGCTTTTATGTACCTTGAGACTTACTGCAAGAAGTTGTTTCTGTTCTTTTCACTGCATTTGTCCTTCTTCTTTCAAGCAGCTGTCAAAAACTCTTAAGGCGCTATCATTTATTTGAGGGCTTGCACAACTTCTGCAGTATTCCAGTTATTTCTCTCGGCTATCTGGGTACATCTGACAGGTTTTGAAGGATTATAAATGTCCATTTACTTCTCCGAAGCTGAGGCACAAAACCTGAAATTGCTGTTATTTTTAGAAACATGTATGTACCCATACTGCTGAAAGATCAGCAGTAGCTAAAAGTGATTTTCTCATCTTCTTCCAGAAGTATGGTTTGCAGAAATTCTGTATGCGTTACCTCAAGTACTTTGCTTCAGAAAAATACTTACATGTAACAAAAAAAAACTTTATGATGGTGGAGCCTGAGAAGTTACTGTTAGAATAAACATTATTCTAACAAGCATTAACGAATTATTCTTTTTTCTCCCCCTCCTTCTTTCTTTTTATCTCTGATCCAGGACACGTTGATATATAAAAGCAATAGAAACGTATATCGATGTAGATAAATTAAATGCAGGTATCAGGTTTTTTGTTAGCAAATAATTTCCTTTTGGAGGTCTTTTTAAGAGAGCCCTGTTTTACATAAGCAGACTTGATGATTTAATAAAAACTTGCTTGGATTTTAGCAGCTGTGCTATTCCCAGAGAGATCACTTTTCATGTGGTTTGGGTATTAAATTACTTCGGTGCTGAAAAGGTTGCTTCATTGGCACACGTATTTCCTTACAGTAGAAACACAGCGTTTGTTTACTTTGCTAACTTTCTGTTTATTGGCTTTAGAGTATGTCACCCTGTGTTATCTGGACATCTGATGCTAATACTTTGAAATGACAAATCCAATTACAATTTAATTGTAGTCTGTATGTTGTTGGGTTTTTTTAAATGCAGTGATTTAGCATAACTTCATCCTGATCTGTGTCAGATTTACTATAGATTCAAACTTTACCGGAGAGAAGTGGTTCTTCTGATATAATTGAATTTGCTGGTTACCTTATTAATTTTCTTTTTTACGTCACCGTATTCTTTCTTGAGCTTGTCACTTTGTGACTCTTAGAATGTAAAAGTAATGGGTTAGGAATTTGTAAGAAAATTTTAGTACATTCTTAAGCCATCCAGCACAGCTGCATGACTTGGGAGAAGCTGCTAATGATTTGCATGTTTGGAGATTAGATTCCATTTCATTTTGACTCTCAGTCATGACTTCATTTCTCTGTTTTTGAAGCTGAGGAGCCCAGACATCCAAGCAGCCAGCTATTCCTTACCCAGAATTGTCCAAAACAGGCTGCATGCCAGAGAAGCCTCCCGCAGGCAATTGTTCAGGAATTTTGGGATGGTCGCAGCAGGAAACCAATCTATTTTTATTCTGGGCCAAATTTTCCCTGTATTATTTCCCCATCTGTCTTATTCTGGTTCTGCATAAGCATGTGCTAGAGTGGAAAGCATCCTCTTTCAGAGCTAACAGCACTGCACTGCCAGTTGAGTAGTAGGTGCTGAGGTGCAGCCTAAGCTCTTCTGATGCGCTTCCTCTTCCATGTCAAACTTGTTCTCTTCCTGAGAAGAGAGAGTCCAAAGTTCTTTAGTATAGATACTATTTGTAATAACTGCTTTACTTACAGAAAAAGAATGATAAGCTTATTACTTACTGTGCTAATTAAGCTGTCTGTTTACCCTGTTTGAAGCAAACAGAGGATATTTTCTCATAATATGGTGAGAAGCATTACAATCCTGTAGAAAAATAGTGGTCCAAATCCTGTACTACCTGAACCTTGCAGGCAATTGTTTTCAGTCTTGGGATAGAGATTATCAAATATATACCTTTCTTATTGCAAAACTGCCACTGTTTCTATTTTAAGGAGGGTAATGAAAACTTTCCGGTTATTGCTCCTCCCTCATCCTTGTGCGTCATGGAATGAACCAGGATAACCTCATAGATTCAGAGTGTAATGTCAGAAAAGATTATTGCTACTAACCAGCTTGGCTATACAAATATCCTCTCTGTTTTACATATAGCTCACAGATCTCACTTCCTCTAGAGTTTGGATTTGTCATCCATATACTAGAAATCCAGCTTATTTTCCTTAAAGATATTTCTCTCCTTCCCCTACTGAAAATGTTCTGATGTATAATTATCTCCACTATCTTCTTTCTCAACTTTCTATTCAGTATGCTGAAAAATCGAGCTGTTTAAGGCATATTTTTTAACCTCTGAGCGATTTTACTGACTTAGCTTTAAATGTTTTTCACTTTAATTGCATTTCATGAAGGAGTAGACACCAGGATGAGAAATGGTGTTCTAGACACTGTTACAATTTGTTTTCAGTCAAGGTATTTCTCTGTCCTTGCAGATGATTTCCTTTTTTAGCATCCCAGGGATGCATTGAACACTTTTGCTGTGACTTCTGCTAAGAGCCTGTGTTGTGCAAGCTGTTTATGAGTGTTTTAGTTTTGAAATCTATCATCATGTAGACATAACAATGCTTTTATTGTTTTAATCTGCTAACTGCTTTGCATGCATTTTTGCTTTAAATGGTTCCAGTCAGTTATGACAGTAACCCACATCATTCAGTAACTTACTGATTTTTTTTCAGTTGAGATCATTTTAATTCTGATTCCAGCAAAACCCTTCACATTTGCCCTAGCTGCATTGAGAAAAACTTTCCTAGTTGCTTTCTCCCAGTAACAGCTTATTGTAAGATCTGTCAGTGAAATTGTTTTAAATCCTTTTCTATTATACACTTCTCAATTCAAGTATTGATGTTAAATAGTGATGTATAAGTAATGGGTGAAAAAACCCCTTGGTCTTTCCTTTCTCTTGCATAGCAGAAGTGATGGAGGAAATGGAGAGAAATGTTTGTCCTTCAGGAATGAACACTGCAAAAATTTAAAAGTGTGTTTAAAAGGAGTTATTTCTGTATGTTATGTGCTGTAACATCAAGTCTATGTAACTGAGTCCATTTAGAATTTTTCTTATTTCCTGAATTTACGTATATTAACATTTGACACTTCTAGGTACAGTGCAGCCTCTGTATTAATATTGGATAGGTTTCATTCAGACTTAAAGAATGCATCATTAATATACCTAGGCATATTTTCAGCATACTGTGTTAAATGTAACACTTTTCTTTCTCTTAAGGTGGCATAGAAAATTTCCTTATTACAAGTGACTCACAGCAGTTCCTCAATTTTGGTTTTCCTCCTGAAAAAATGTCATTTTAACTAAGGGGAGTAGGAAGCAGGATTGTCTTGCCCATGGCTTTTGAAATCTCAGGCAGTCTTTGCCTCTCTGGATATAAATTTAAAATTCGGTCAGAGAATTGAAATAAGACATATTTTCAAAATCAGTCACAGTGAGTATGATTTTACTGCTGGTGGCCTGAAAGATGCACATTCTTGAAAATAATGTCTGGTCTTACTATTTAAAAAAGACTGAATTTTGATTTTGATAAAGAAATTTTTTATTATGATCAAGAAACCTGCTGCTGTTAAAAACAATTGATTCATATTTCTGAGAGGTGGTGTTTCTGTTGCATTTAAATTAAATTATATGGGTCTTAAAATTTTTTGGTTCTGTTTTTTCAGTATTTCTTCTTCCTCCAATTCAATGACATTTTAACTACTACTAGTACAGAGTACAATCAGTAGGAAAGAGCATCACTGCAATTTTTTTGCTGTTGACATATTCAATATCTACCTGTGTTTAAAACATTATTTATTCTAATGGCAACTTAATGCTGTCTTGTCATCTCTCTGTGAAGCTGTTATAGAATTCCTTTCGTGTCAGTAAAACCAAAACGGAACTAAAATACTTTGACTTACATAGGACTCTGTCAGCAAGTATGTATTTTAACAATTGTGAAAACGAAGTTGGAGAATACTGAACTGGGTTAAAACGAGAAATGCTCAATGTGTAATGATGGTATGGTGATGATTTTCATCCTACTATTGCTGAATGTAGAAACAGTTCAAACCTAATTTGATGTATTTCCCCCTGTAACTCAAAGGTCAGTTGTTCATTTTGCTAGATATGAGTAATTTATAATTGTTCTTCTTACTTCCATAAAGTTTTTGCATACTTGCAACCCAGTAGTCTTTTATTCCTTTATTTATTGTTCAGTTATTCCAAGGATTCCTGGC